TTTTTTTTTTTTTTTTAATCAAGGAAGTGGTTCGTCGCGATAATGAAGGCATTGTATTGTATCGCACTGTCTTGTTTTCCATTTGGAGAAAGTATTCTTTTTTTTGTCGAGAGTGGCACGCCGAAGAACGATACGGATAATTAATCGACACGGATTCGTGGTTAACGATAAGTACAAAAGGTCGGGGAAAACGGCTGCCGGTAGAAATTGCCGACCCGCGAAATCATTTACTCGCGATGTTGTAACGCGCTCGCTACGATATGCCGTTTCTTGCTTTTTTTGTCGCGGACAGATGACCTCGCCGATAGCTTTGCTCGTGTCATACTCGTAAATAGACGCAGTAACGCGCGTTCCGAAGAGCAACAAACCAAAGTACATGTGTGTAAAAAGCGCACGCTTTTTAAATGATGAAAACCGTGTACCACATATTGCGAAACGCTACGTTCGGTCGCGTAATCGACCATCGTGATTTGCGATCGAACTTGCACTTGCTTTCAAGACAAACTAGACAACGAGAATGCTTTTAAAATGGGCGTTCCCTCTCGGCATTCGTTTAGGCATCAGACATCCGGAGGAATTGTCGTTCTGCAAGCCGCTCGAGCCAAATCACCTAAAGTACAATTTGAAAGATCTGCCGGCAAAGAAGAAGATCGAGAACCAAAAGAACGGCCATTGGAACGTCCCCGCGGACACGAACACGTTCATCCCGGTGAGCCAGAGTCCCAGAGGATCGACGGGCAGTTTGGATCAGGGCAGCCCTTTCATGTGCGCGCCGGTCAACAACAGAAATCACAGCACGCCGATCAGCTCGCCCATTTCGGTAAGTATAAACGAATATCTCTACGAAGATCACGCATCACCAGCGGGCCAGCGTATCGTGGATCTGGCCGATCGGATGGGATCGAGAATCCTAACCAGAGAGTCGTATCGGACCTGTTATGGTAATAAATAACTCCCGATCGAGCTGATTGCCGCGCCTATGATTTATCGATATTGGCCTATCATTACCGCTTACGGAGTGGCTCGTCTCCGAAAGCTAATTTGCTTCTCGCGCGAGCGGCCCGTTTTTCCAGCCGGCGGTGGTCATTAGGTGTATTTA